GGGGGGGGAGATTTTTGTGCCGAAAGCTGTTCATTTAAATTATAACTCCGCTAGTTGCCTCCGCGACGCCCTGTAGAAGTTATCTCCGAACGAAATCGCTTCTCCCTCGTCGTTTACACAACTTAAATGCAGATAATTAATTCGCGTTCTAGTAGTTAGACTCCGAAACTCGTTCGCCCGGAAGCGTTAAACTTCGAGTTTTAATTCGTTCCTCATCTAACATATTCGTTCTGTTCGTCGTGTCGTTTCCTCGCACGACGCGGAACGCTGGTGTTCCGCGACTTCGTTAAATTTCGTCTCGCTGCAGAAGAAAACAGCGAGGAGAAATGAAACGCGAGAGCATCCCACTCTTCGCAGAGTTTACGCATTAAGTAACTAACGAACTTGTGGATTTGGCTTCGTATCGTGTCATATCGTGAATTTATTGCGATACCAGGTCTACGTAATTCGCTGGATAGAGGCCCACTCTGCCGTCCTTTCTCCCTTTACACCAACCTTGCTCGTCCTCATCTTCGAGTTTCTCGAATACGTCTCCTGAAAGAGCGACGAGTGTTCGAACATTATAAATTATCTGGTTAATGTGTGTGTCGTGCTGAACTATATAAATTGTATGCAAAATGAAATGGAATTACGTCGCGTTGTAAATACAGAGTTGTCGTAAAGATTGGACGGTTTGACAAGATCTAGCTTCGCGCGAGCCTATTTTCTTTGCAGAATTGCCGCAACGTCTATGAGTCACGGCCATCCATTATAATTGTGTGCGTGAACTGGTAACAAAGCGCGGATCAATCAGGTTCGATCGATTCGACTTCCAAATTCCTTCAATGCCGAAGATTGTGCACATTGTACGTGCCTTGCTTGAAACTGAGTTCGTCCGCTTCCGCTCCTTCGTAATCGTACAACGCTCGTACGGGGACTCCGGGCTCTCCATTGTCGACCAATGGCTCACCCCCATCCTCATCCCATTCCTCTTCCTCGAACGGGTTCGACTCTTGCTTTACGTTAGTGCCGTTACTACAACAGTCGTAATATTTTACACGATTAGCCTTTTATCGAACGAACTGCTTTCGAACGTTCGTCAGTCTTCACAGTCGAGTACTCACGTGATCGTTGAGGTCCTGTTGACGCTGTCGGTTTCGTGATTATTCTTCTCCGAGGACTGCTTGGTGGAGGTTATCGTGTCCGTTTTGCTGTCTGCGTGATTGCCGTCCGCTGATATCACCCGGCCGGCGGACTTCGATTTTGATTTATTATTCACTGGCGGAAATTCCTATTTGAACAAGCGAACACGTTAGGTACACTTCGCTTTGAAGTTTACACATAGCGTGCACCGGTACCGACCGGTGCACGGAATAACGAAAATGCCATGCGTGCAACCAAATGTTCCTGTATGACTCGCTCGCTGCGATTGTTTCGCGCTTTCGATGAGCATGCCCCGACGATGTAACGTGCCATTTCGTCGAAGCCGTCGACGGTACTTGATCCGCGTCTATCTTCTCGATAAATTTTCACGTGCCGAGGTAGTACAATTTCTAGAGCAGAGTTTAATTTTACTTCGATCTTTCCGTCGCACAGTTTGAGCACCACGCTTAATCGATAGCTATGGAAGACGTTATGTGTCTTTTTTACATATTTCTTATAGAGAAGATAGGGCTTACTTGGAAGAAATCCCATTGCGAGAAATTTCACCGATTCGAAAAGTGCGTATTTACAAAGCACACACTGAGACTTCAGGCTGCGTCTTGTGAAACGGATAAGAGTTAATGCGATATGAATTATAGCTGAAGTAATCAATTTCGAGTTACAGATGTATCATCACCCGATGGTACACGCTTTAAACCAGACGTTCTTGTGCGAGAAATGATGATTTGACGGATCAATATGCATGTTTTATGATACACCATGCGAGGAATTAACATACAGGACAACCCAGAACTATCGCATTTTTTTCTTCGGAACGCTTCACTGGAATTTGCACAGATTGTTAACTTCCGCTACTAAAAATGTCTTATTCTGATCACTACGAGAAATCTAAAAGTAAATGCAATAGTTTTGAGGCAGTCTGCGGTGTAATTCTCCCATTCGCGAAATGAATCCGATTATTAATCCCGTTTTACCTCCCGTAATAAGGTCTTTATATGTATATTTTTATATAAGCACGTGGGACATGCAGATATTGCATGTGACTCTGACAGTCGGTTGCAGGCATATGTGACTTACTGTTAAGCTCGATGTGATTCTTACTTCTATTTTTTTTTTAATAATATTATAATGATCATATATACATATATTTATACCGTATATATATATGTATATATACATATACCATGAGTAATATTATAAGCGTCTAAAAAACCAATTTACAAACTTTCGAGGGTCGGAGAGCTTTTCGGAAATCTGAATCAGAAAACTAAGAGCGGTTACTTGCGAATTCTGACCGTTTCCATCGATTACTCTGATCTTATAATGACGATTCTTTTCATAAATTGCGTTACACTGATAATAATAGTAAGCTTTCTCATTCTGGAAATTTTTACAAGCTAGCGCTTGTCTGTACAAAACTTTTTATGACGTGATATTATTAATTCGTTACGAAAAGGACATATCGACAAATAGTTTGATTCAGATATTATACACTGCGTCATATATGTCTCAATATTCCCTAGATCGAAAATTGTACGATTTTCAGCCTTATGCACATGCACATAAGATCGAAAATCGCGTACATAACTCGAATTATAATGATAAGGTTATATTTTTCAAGTTTCGGAAGAAAACAGGGCTTTCTTTCCAATTTTACCGCGGATATTTTTGGTTTCTTATACTTTCCTTATTGGGGGAAAAAAAGTAAATATAACAGGTTTTAACAAGCGTAAATTTTTCTAAACGAATTTTAGTATCCTCGTGACAGAAACCGAAAAAATCCGCAGAAAAACTAAAAAAGACAAAGTTTTCTTCAAAGCTTGGAAACTATAGATAAGACGTACATGATGCAGTGTGTACACATATACGAGACTTAGAAATTCTCCTTGGCAATCTCTTGCGATCTTCTGTGACGTGTCTGCCGCTAAAACGGCTCTCCGGTTTGTAAATTCGTTCGTATACCTGCCAGGCTATACAATCCGTGTTCACCTTAGGCGCAGATCCGTGGTTACGTGCGAGTAAAAGCGCGCAGCGGATTACGGTTAATTCGGTTAAGACAGCTAGCGAGCTAGAAAGCTGAGAAAGGAAACCCATCCTGGATGACCTCGCGCGCCCAGCGCGTGCCTCGGCGCGACCGGGGCTGGGGACATCCGTTAAGAGCGGTCGCGTGCGATCAATCGACCGGTCATCGATGCTCGATCGAGACGAGCTCGTCGACATTGGGGGAGTGTAAAAGGTAGGACGGACAAAGGTTGTGTGGGTGCAACGGGGTTCAAGTGATTTTCAAGTGACTAAGTAACTGTGATTGTTCTGTTGTGCGTGCGTGCGTGCGTGCGTGTGTCTGTAACGATGTGTCGTGTAAACGTAACAGAAACTTTACATGCAGATCCTCGCCGACCGGGCGTTGATTGATGAGAGTGATGGAGCCTGCCGGGAGCGCCTCCTTCGACTTCGAGCCCTTCGTGATCTCGCGGAACTCCTCTGTGTAGTCCTGCATAATAGCATAACGTCCCAAAACAATCACATGCATGCATTCCGGAAAATCGTTGTGGGCTTTCTCTCTCTCTCTCTCTTTCTATTTCTTTTTCACCGTCTCTCTCTCTCTCTCTCTCCTTTTTCTCGTGTTTTATACATTCTTTTTTCCCTTCTTTTAAGCTTACAACGTTATCGCTGGCAATTCTCGATAAAATCGTTTGCTACTGCGGGTCATTAGTGAAAAACCGGGACGAGAGAGGTGACGATGGGGCGTTACTCTCGCAACGAATTTAACCCTTTTGGATGGCGCGCGCGTTGGCAGGGGCTAAAGGCACGTGTAACAGTGTCGTTTAAACGGACGACAAATTCGATCGCACATATACAATAGCGAGACACAGATAGCTCTTTCTTTCTCTCTTTGGCGCAAAGTGTTGGATATAAGTTAGTTAAATGAAAAAAAAAAAAAAAANAGGAAAATCACCAACACACTGGTCGTAACCCGTAATCAGTACAAGCGGACGAACTCGAGTTATGTACAACGATCAAGTTTTTTTAACTGATAGTAATAACAATAATAATAACATCTGACAACGTAAAGACAACGTGCTCGATCTGTGGTTTCCGGGTTGCTGCCACTGACGATTTTAACCGACGTCATTCTTCTTCAAAAAACTTAAGCCGCATGAAATATCGCGTGCTCAAAAGATACAAGAATGTTGATTACGGGTTAAGAAGCTTAGAAGGAAAAAAAAAAAGAAATCAAGGAGAGAACGAAACGTATTTGTAAGCGAGGTATTCTCTCCGAAGCGACTATACAGAAGCGCAATTTGATATTCGATACAATAGTTACAAGGTTGGGGCGACGTCGACACAATGACGAACATAAGGGTTAAAAACGCTGATTAAGAGCACGCCCGTTCTTTTCTGTGTTCGAGTGCGTTAAGTCTCACTCGTTACTTTAGCGCGAATGCGGATGATTTTCTCGCGTCGTGATCGTTCATTTCCGCAAAAATCGATCGACACGTCTCGTTCGTTGCGTTAACGTAGACACGATATCTATTTTTCAAATTTCATTTTCATTTTATAGAAATACCAATACTATCACTTATTTTTAATCTTTATACTCCGGGAAATCGCAGCAAATGCCGCTGTTTTATCCTTTCTCGGGCCAGGAATGAGAGAAGAAAAGTACACCGAGGCGCGCATAACGACCAACGAACAGTGAAATTATTGTAAAAAAAAAAAGAAAGGGGCGGGGGGCAGCTATAGAGTAATATTCAGTCCACGCTACAGCTATGTGTTGTCTAACAACAGATCTTCAACCACGAGCAGGGCTGTTACATGCGACAGTAGAGCTTTCGTTAGTGCACGGTGACGACGAGCGTCCAGCGACTCACCTCGAACTGCGGCCAATTCATGGCCATGTTCACGCCGTGATTATTGGACCACCACTTGAGGTCTTTCTCGTGGTCGGCGTTGTTTATCGTGTGATAAAACTCCTCGTATATTTGCGGAAGCCTGAAAAGTCGCGATGCATATGTCAGTAATGATAACAACAACGCGCTAATAATAATATATACACAACGTACGTTACATATTCATGAAAGGTAGGCAGAGACGCGGGAATTAAAATTCCAGATTGCTTGATTCAATTTCAACGATCGTCCGAAAATCCAAATTGCGTTAAAGATACATTGCCCAATAGCGCACGTTCAGTGGCGCATCAAGCGGGTCACTTGTAAATTTTGGTATCATAACTAATATCATAAGCTAATATCATAGTAGTTTTTCATTTAAATCTTATTTTTGGTTTAGAAAATACTAAAGAAAGAAATTAAATATAGCACGCTAATCTTAAAGAATACGTGTAAAAGGTTTCAACTTTAATTACAAATATCTCAGCTCTCGAACGGTCAATCTTTTTCTAATTGCACGAGCATAGAGTTGAATAATGTTTCAAAGATTTATGTAGTGCAAGTTTCATCAAATTCTTATCAAGCTTATTTCACATTACAACCTTCTTTAAAACGGTATAATTTTTTATTCAGGCTCTGAATTATTGCCAAACTTTTGGTGTCACTTTTAAATGCAATGTAGATCGATTCGTAACTTTTTCATGACTTTTTCATTACTTCAAGTTATGGGCGATACATCTTTAAACGACGATGATCGAAGTCTAAATATACAATCGCGTCGTGTTTACGCGACGCGCGCATTGATGATTCAGAGTGGAAATACTTAAAAAAAAAAAAAAAAACTACAGTTACACGTCGCGCGCAGTCCTAGGGTAACGGAGAAGAACTTACACTGGATCCTGCGAGATGTTCAGACACTTGTGAATGCCGAACAGGACGTCTTTGAAGAACTGCAGCCGCTGCGCCTCCATCTCCTGACACTTCTCAAACACTTGCGTCATGTCCTCCATGTACTTCGGATTGTACTGATTGATTTCCTGTAGCGCCGCCTCGTATTTCTCCTTTGCTTTTTGCACCTCCTCTTTCGTTTTCTGCACCCTGTCCTGCATTTTCTTCACCTGTCGAAAGAAATGAGAAAACACTCAGAAACTTCACGGAGAGAACGTTCTCTTTTAACACGCTGGCTCGAAGGTAAAGATTTTGGTGAAGACTAAGCGCGGTCTAAAAATTCCAAGTTCGCGCCGTTCCGTTGATTACATAAACAAGGCGGAACAGGGAAGTTTCATTACGGCAAAAATTTGCGAAAGTATGCATCGTATCGATAATGTAATACACGAACGGCGGGCGTTTTGCTTTTCTGTGTAATTTTATCCGTCGATTTTAATTGACCGTTTCAAGTGTTAGTTCACGGAAAACTTCGAATTCGAATTCGCAGGTGCGATTCGAACGAAAGTGCGAAAGTGCAATCCCAATGCTTCCAATTCTTCACCCTGAAGAACGAGCTCATCGTCAAAAAGCTGTGGAGAATGCTTTTTGCGATATCAAGCGTGAATGCTACATTGAAAAGAGAGGAGAAGAGTGGATATATATGACGGTATTCGTACATTGGGATGTGCGAATATGTAGATAATAACTTGGCTACTTGCTACACGAAACTACACGTTGTCAAGACTACATACTACGTACTGACTAAACTACTTTATGAATATTTTTCTCGACATGCAACTACGACTACACTACGATGAATAGATGTATCACGTAACAGTCGTTAACAACGATATAGTTTGTATCTATCTCTTCCGAAATATTGGAAGAAAAATTATAACTTTACGAGACGACTTAATTTTCATCCAATAAAATTTCGAGATATTGTCCTACTTTTTGAATTTCGGGTATACTTTCTCACGGGAATATGCATGTCCACCCGAAAGACATTCGAATTTTACGAAAACAGCATAATAAATTGGGTTAAATTTTGCGAACGGGCTCAACATGAGAGAAATTTCGAGAAATTTCGCCGGGATCTCGGATCCACATTGATGTATAAATACACGCCGCAGCCTTTTAATGAAAGATCTACGCGATTTTCACGGCATTAAAAATCTCCCGGTGGCGGCAGTGCAGTAAATTTCACTGTTTTGCATAATTGCATAATTACAGCGTTTACTTTCTGACCGCGTGGAACCGTATCACGGTGAACATCATGAGGTTGAGGTCGTTCGAAGCGAAATTTATGTCGTTACTGGATCTTACAAAAAACCCCGGACGTCTACTCGGCCATTATGTGCCGCGAGCGCTCTAAGGATTTAGCTCAAAGGGGCTCACCTATATCGACTCATGAATTATACATATTCCATGCACGTGTGCCGCATTTCTCATGTTTATACCGGTTTTGAATTAACTAAATTACGATGATACATGTCGCAGTGTGTGTTCTTGCAATTACGAAAAGATTTCATAATCAATCGACGGTGCAAACTATACCGGTTGTTCTTCATGTAATTCAAAATAACCAAGGATATGAAAAACTGAGTGTGCTCAATGATGTGAAAAGTACAATGTCACGGATTATTTTACCGCAATGTTTGCAACTTTTAAATGTATACCCACTAAACCTTACAAGGTACCGAAGCTACAATTACCGTTACAAGAGCAGAGCATGCGATTTAATTGATTGTTACACATATAACGTCAATCGTATTATATATGTTACGTCTTAATATATAAATGTAATGTATGGAATGCATCATAAAAAATCGTCGTACGTATTAATTTTGCAAATTATCACGTAATCTGGATATTTCTTTAGCAATAATATACCCGGAAAAAGATAGGACCGTGAACGTAGACGAGCACAAACTACAGGAAGAGAGGTGCTACATTTGAAATCAAAAGAAAAACATGGACCGACATCAGAAGACACGCGTGACAAAGAGGAAGCGCGCGGATCTCGCAAAGACATTTGCTGGCTGCGTTTGATCTGTCTCTTCCTGTTTCTCGTGCGTTCTGATCTCGATCCATCGATCGACTCGAGCGAATACTTCGATGATCGAAAAGGCTTAAAAGAGTCTGAAGTTTCGCTTACCAGCAGAGCCTTCTGCAATAAGAGAAAACATACGACATATGAATCGAAAAACATGCAACATGCAACGTCATATACATACAAACTGAACGTCGCCTATTTTATTATTCCTAAGGATTTTTGGTACTCTGAGGCTCCATGCACCACATCCACATTCTGTCATCTAAAAACGTCGTTAGCCGTCTTTCAGAGATGTCTAACGCCGATTCGGCATTTATGTTGTAATGTGGTCGACTACGTGCGTTCGCAAGAATGGCGACTAATCGTTCGTCAACATTCCGCTATTCTTGGTAAACTAAAAGGAAGTTATGAAATTTACGGAATTCGAGAGTTTCTCCCACCCCGTTTTTACCCGTTCAGATCAATCTCTCGCGTAGTAACGCGTTTCCACTGCGCCGTAATTCGAGCGATAGCAACGAGAGATAATAAAACTCGAGCGGAAAATTGCAATGCATTTTTTTCCCCCGTCACGGGGTTCTCAGCTCTCGTTTCGTCGTAATTCGTGTGTAATTGCTACTTGAGCACATCAAGCGCAATGAAATATTTACGTAAGGCCTATACAGAGTGACCGCCAGCACACAAGATGTTTCATTTCCTAAATGAGAATAGTTGGACAGGAGACACACACATGTACACACGCACAAAGCAAACACACGCGCGCACACACACACACACACACACGCACAAACACACTTATACAGGCATGCGACGAAAGAAAGAAAGAGAGATGGAGACTCTTCGGGCACGGTCCCTGTTCGTATCATTAGACGCATCTTAATTTTTTACAATTCATTGACTTCCGAGGACTAGCTTTATAACACAGTTGATTCATCGATCGAATTATGTTAAGGAATCATTATTCTATAAAAGATATTTTTTATGACGTCATTTCACTTGGATGTTATAATGACCTTGAATAAATATGAATCCGCGCTAGTTACATAATAACGAGAACAAACGTGTTTTCAGTGTGTGTGTGTGTGTGTGTGTGTGTGTGTGTGTGTGTGTGTGTGTGT